GAAGTTCCCTCTTTCAGTTTTGAAGGCCAACCTTCATTCAGCAGCAAATAATTAAGAAACAAATCATATATAATGCAGAGCATATATAGAAAATTTTCTTTCAGAAAAACAAAAAATATTTGGACATTTTATATTTAGTATAGCTTAGCAATCCAGTCTGTGTTGACAAATTTAGTGAACTGTTAGGAGGGACAGTACATATACCAGAGAACTCATTAGCCAGCATACATTTTAACCCTTGATTAATCAGGCAACATGTCTGACCTAATTTTTTTCTTGTATTTTTTTTAGAAGATACTCCATTTGTAAATTCAAGTTTGGTTGCCCCTTTTTAGTCTTTTTGCTCAATATTTTGAACACTTCCATTTTCTTCTTTTTGTAGAGCCTTTGAGCTTCTTCTCTCTCTTGTTTTCTCCTCTCAAATTCCTGAAATTATTAACATATATAATTTTCATTAGTAACAAACAATAGATATTGTTCAATAATTTTGTTGAAATAGCTATCACCATGCAAACACTTCAGGTTTGTCTTATATTTTGCAAAATGTGAGGTGTTACTTGTAAGTGCAGCAGTCTACCCTCTTTGCCGCTATGATACATGCTATGCCATAGAATAATGTAAAGTTAGTAAACAATTTTAATTATTTGTATACAAATAAAATTAAAGCACAAAGAAGGCACATTTATTTAATGGTTTCACATTTAATTAGATCCACTGAAGAGTCAGAAGTGACGTTAGAGGTTATCAAGTCCATGTAACACAAATCATTTCCAGAATATCTGGTATTCTTTTAAATTTGCCATCTGATCCAGATTTAATTCAAGAAGCATTTATTGACTACAAGCTATATATATGTAAAATATTGTGCTAGGTATTATGGTTTTGATTATTTAAGAATTAATCATGCTCATTTGACTTGCTAAGATAAAGACTCAAATTCATTGGAGTTTAAAGAAAAATAATTTGAAGTTATATAAACCTGAAAATCACTACTTACAATATTCTTAAATATTCTTAAATATAAAAGTTAAAAATACAATATTCTTAAATATAAAAGTTAAAAATTCTTAAATAATGCAATATGTGAACTGTTTTTCAGTTTCCCCTGTAACGCATATAGCCCCCAAATGACACAGCCTTACATTTGTATGGTGACATAATTAACAAAGTGCTTTCATATACGTCACAGCATATTCCATCCTTTTAAAACTTTTTATGCTAGGATTTATCTTCACCTTACAAATAAAGGGCTGATGCTCAATTTTCACGGTTACAAAGATGTAACATTTATATATACATAAAGGAAGTTTTTTTTGAAACAGTAAATGTTTTTCAGTATAATGGTCCATATTCCATCTGGTATACTATTTCCAAAGGTGGCAGGTATCAGAAGGTTGGTTAAAAAAATGCATAATCTTAACAAACTGTGAAACAAAGGTCCAGTTTTTCCATGGAGAAATGTTTCTGCTTTACCCTAGTCTGCCATCAGTTTAAGAATAATCATACGAATTTTAGATGTTAAACTTCCAGATTTCTTAATTACACGATTTGTAAAGCTAAGACATAAAAGAAATTATATGTCAGCACCATCTTTGGGGTATTTTTGATCGATGTGCTCTCCTTTTTAAAGTGATAGATTAACATAGCTTCAATATAAGAAACAAGAAACCACAAATAAAATAATTTTGTTGAAGCTGTGGATACTTTTGTTCTGCTCATTTGAAAAAGGCTGTTATAATTTTAGGTTTCTGAATGATAACAAAGTGTGGTAACTTTTTGCTAAGTTAATCTAGTAAGGTTTTTAATAAGCAAAACCAACTCTTTAATGTAAATTTATGAAAATCATCTACATTTTAAAAAAATTAGTAGTTCTCAAATTTTATTACGCATAACCTCTTTAGGCACTTGTTAAAAAAAATGCAACTATCTGGACCTTACTCTTGAGAAACACTGTCCCAGATGCTCATATTATTAACCTATGAGCAGTACCTTAAAATCCTATTCTTGACTACTACTATCACCTCTCAAGGGTAATATAAACAGTCAAGGAATCTGAATGTTGAAATTCTCCAGCTCTTCTCAGATTATTCATTTACTCAGCAAATACTTACAGAGGGCATACTATGTGCCCCATATTAAGAAGAAAAGCTTACATTTACCCTTAGGATAAAGGAACATGAATCTAAATATTTTAAAAGTAGATCTTACTTGTCTCTTAGCAGCACGCTTAGCTTGTATCTGCTCATACTCTTCCTGTGCTTTTTGATTTGATGTTTTCTTTTTATTTTTCTTTGGAATAGTAATGGAACTTTGCAAGATAAATGAAAACAAATCACAAGTATTAAAAATAATATAACCAAAATTATGACACAATTATGTCAGACAGTATTTGTATAGTCAAATCTCACTAATGCAACTTAAGGGGTGGAGGTGAAGAGAATTTGAAAGAAAGAAGACATTAATTTTATTAGTAAAATGTCCAAATAACATATTAGAAATTTTGTTACAGCTTTCAAGATATAGAAAATAGTAAATGGAAAGTCTTGGAAAAATATTTCACCCAGGGAAAATACAGAAAGCTCTGAAAGATCTGAAAATGTTTAAAAACAGGAAACCAGCATATGAATGGTAGAAATGACAGACTGAAAAAGGCATTAATTTGAAGGACGTTATGAAGGACCTTGGGGGTGTACATGAACTTTAATCCCAAAGTTCTTTGACCAACTTGTCTCTATTCCGTTTCATTTATTTTTTTAATTGCAACCAAGTCTATGTCCTCTTGGAAAAAAAAAAATCCAGGTTAATAATAACAGTAGTAGTAGCAGTTAAAACTCATGTAGCACTTCCCATGTATCACATGCCTTTTTAAACACCTATATAAATGAATTCATTTAATCTTCACAACATCTGAGATAGGTCTAAGATACCATAGCGTGTAAATAATCCATTCTGGGGTTGTACAACATGGCAGCTATAAATTACATACTTACTATTATTATTTGCATTTTAGAGGACATTGGGCACCAACATATTAAAGCCAGCTCCAAAGTCCACGATGTTAAGCACTACACTATAATACCTCTCAAAAATTAAATTATTTTTAAAAACATACATTAATAACAGGAGTTAATCATGGTCCAAGTAAGTTAAATGTACTTGAGAGGCTGAAACCTAAAACCCAGGTCTCTTAATTCCCATTCCATTACTTCTTCTATTAAGCCTACCTGACAATTTATAGTCATTTAAGCTAACATGAAAGCCTCCATGAAAATATTTTCACATAATTACCTGTGGCTTCTAATATGCCTTAAGAAAAATACCAATTAATACAGAAATTGTTCTATAATCTCTTTCCTAAAACCCTACTTACATCTACAATGAAGAATTTCAAAAGATGGTAATACATACTTTATTCTTATGCTACATTGTTCTTCTGGATGAGGCTGCTCAATGCTACAATGTTCTTCAGACAAAGCCTGGTCAGTGCTACACTGCTCTTCTGGCAAAGGCTGATCAACTTGTTCTTCTGACAGAGGCTGGTCAACTTGTTCTAACAAAGACTGGTCAGATTTTCTAAGCTGCTTCCTGAGTCTTTCCTCTTCAGCTAAATAGAGATGTTTCAGATGATCAGGGTACCGATCCGTGAACTGGGATTCCCGTGAGGTTTTAGCCTTCTTTTCCTTCCATATCAATTTCTTGTAATTTTGCTGAATTTTTAGTTTTCTTCGAAATGCAAAGCCTTGTCCTGTTGAAGAATATATCAGTCATGAATTACTTTCTGAGAAAATAATTTGCATGAAAAATGTAGTTGCTAAATTAAAATTAAAAACTTTTTATATCATCACGTTTAGGTGCTAGAATTACATTATGTTTTGCTGTAAAACGTTATTTCAAGAAAACAAGTTTAAGCTAATGGAATGAACAGTATACTGGTCCTTTGCAAAAAGACCAGGCTAACGGTAATTGTGCAGAACTAAAGAATCTCAAAGAAGGAAAAAAGAGTAGAGTGTTGCACAACTCCAACTTATTGTACTCACAAACAGATTTCTTAATTCATCTAAAACACTTAACCTAGGTCTTCACTAAATACCTCCGGGAAAAAACCCTCGCATCTATTACCTTACGTTAGAGAAAATACGACTGATTTTCTAAAGTAATTCAACGCAAACGAGGAAAGACGGTGTATGACTTTCTCAACAGCAATTATCAGAAAACCTCTTTAAGATTTATACATTCCAAATGGGTTTTTTAAGTACTTACAAACAGCAAGACAAAATGAAAAACAAAAACTAAAACGAAGCAAACACAGTAAGAGAAGACTGGAGGGCTCTGGGGTATTTGTAATCAGCAAGAGTGTGGGGCAGTACATTTCCGGCCTCGCCTTCTATCCTTTACCGTAATACATGCACAAATGGACTCATAGATTCTCTCTGCTTACGGTTTCACGGAGAAAATGTAGACGAAAAGAGTTCTCATTAAAAAATGGGATTAAGTCGAGGAAAATGTTGAAAGATTTAGAGCAACACTGCCTCGCCTTCCCGTCCAGAACTCTGAGACGCCCACGGCTTCAGCAGATTTAAGAATAGATTTCTCTGCCCCAAGTACGGCTCGGTCTGGTTCCTAAATCCTTCCCAGCTTGGGCGGATCGCGTATCCTAAAATTTCGCAGGCCCGAGGACTTGTAAAAGGCTGCCTTCTTACATACATACCCTCGCGAACGCTCCCCGCGAAGGCCTGCGGATAATTAGGTCGCCACGTCCTCCGTTTCATATTCTTATTTCTGAATCCGACCAGTGAAACGCCTTCGCCACGCGACCCAAAGCTCCCTGTCTGCCCCCTTGCTGCATGCCTTACCGGCGCCACGGCACACCAACCGCGGCGCCAGAAAACCACAACTGGCGCGGTAAAAAATACGTCATCAGGCAGAAGCAATCAGCCGCCCACCCACAGTCCAGATCGGAATTCTACTTATCCGGCCTATACTTTCCACTGAGCCCTTGCCTTGCGGCCACGTTTGCGCCACCTACAGCCCGGGAGGGTGGGCGTCATGGCGGCTTCTGGGCCGCTCCCGGTGACCCAGGACCTGTCCACGTTGCATGCCAAGTTGCAGGGGCTGCTGCGGTTCCTGAGGGAAGCCCTGTCCATTTCCAGTGCACATACGGTGGACTTCTACACAGAGTCCGTGTGGGAGCAAGTGGTCGACTTGCCCCCGGAGACAGTGCTGGCGGTGCTGAGATCGGCGGCGGAGGCGGAGGCCCAGCCCTCGGAGGCGCGCCTCCAGGTGGAAGCCGAGAGTGGATCAGGTGAATGGAGGGTGGGCGGGGCGTTCAGGAAGGCGGAGAGACATCCCGCCCAGTGAAGGGTGGTGTACCGTAGCGGAAGTCGAGCGGAAACAGGTACGCGGCGGGACTGGCACTGGCGGGGCAGGGATGCGCTGCCTGGTAGCGAGCGGAGCCCCTTCTCCGCTTCCTGGAGGCGTGGGGCTGGACACTCCTCCCGAATCCCCTGTCTTCCATGGGTGCTTGTGTATTTCCACAGTTTAAAGAGAGCAAGAAACATTGCTAGGACCTTTCTTCATTTAGTAATTAAACAATCATTTTCTTAACTGGAGGGGAACAGTGCTTATAGATTGCATGTGGAGCACAGCAGAAGATAAATCAACACCTAACAATCAAGATCATTTCAAATGGTGATTATAGCCGAGAAGAAAATAAAACCAGTCAACTGTGATAGCGACTGTGTGAGGAGGCTGCTTTCACCTGGTTGGTCATGAGCATGAGAAGGCGCCGGCTGCAGTGAGCCGCAGGAAGGGATTTCAGGCCCACGGAATCGCGGAGGCCCAGGGCAGGAAAGAGCGGGGTGGGTTGAGGTTCAGATGCCTGAGTGGCTAAAGCCAGGTGACGGGCAGTGGCAGGTGCGGCCAGGGAAGTAGGCAGAGCCGGATCGCGCGGGGCTCTCTGGGCCTCGGAAGGATGATGGGTTTGAAGTAGGATGAGAAAGCTTTGGGCAATTTAGTCAATATAGTGCCTTAATATACTTTACATTTGAAAAGATAACTGTGATAGTTATTTGAAGAACAGACTAGTGGGGCAAATCTGAGAGGCCAGTTAGAAGGCCATTTCAGTAATACAAGGAAGAGATGAGATGATGGTGGGCTAGGATGGTAGTACTGAAGACCGAGAATATTTACTATCTCTTTTGAAAACTGTTTATAAAATATCTACTACTGAAACTTAGATTCTACTAAGGCAAGTACATTTTGGAAGTAGTATGATGAGAAGACACCAGCAGGATCCTGGGATTTCTTCTACTTTGTTTCCAGGCGGTCCCAACCTTGCCCTTGCTGGTGAACTTTATTCACTTGAGCATTCTCTGAAGGCAAAGCACCACTGGGGGGCCTTCCTATGATAGAACTTGGTAAATACTGGTTTCTTTAAAGTCACTGTTTATTGTTGGAAAGTTAGGCACTTTTTTTTTTTGGTCGTTAACACAGTTTATTATTGGCACACTTAACAGTAAAGCATACATAAAATCCAGCTGTTTTATAATACACGGAGCCACTGTCTTTACACGTATAGAGAAACGCATTAATATGCAAATGGGAAAATTAGTTTTTTTATAAAGTTTCACATAAATACACTGGAATTGCTCCCAAAGAAAAGTCCCCATAAAAGAACCAGATTAGGGCTTTACAAAATATTATACAGGAACTATACTATGAAAAGAAACAACAGTCAACTGAGATACAACAAGAAAAACACAAAAGAGTTTCAGATTTATTAAACTGCCCACAAAATTAATGGATTACATGGCTTGAAAATATTTGGATCAACAGAAATTTTACAAACGCCTACCTTCTCAATGGGCCAAGTGCCTTTCTTGACATAAAAATCTGCCTTGGTGCCTTTGATGACAAAAAGACATTTCTTGTTTCAGCACTCGGGCTCGATTGAACCAACTCAGGATGGAGGACCAATTGACATTAGCTCGGCCATAAATTACCCTGCTGGGCGCTCTTAGCTGTTACCCTATGAAACAAAAGGTGAAGGGGGAAAAGAAGATAAAGGTACATTTAAATTACTTTCCAAAAGTGGATTTTTTTCCTTTTCTTTTTTTACTGAAACAAGTAACTCTCAGATACAAGTCAAAAAGCAGAAAATATTTTACAATATTAAAAAGTCTATCTGTAGTTGGGTTCGGCATAGAATGAGATCCTGAGCACTGAGGGTTTATTAACAATATGGCGTTTGTTGGATGGTTGGGTGGGGCGGGGGGAATGAAATTAACAAATGTGGTTAAAACCGAGCCAGGAGAAGCCTAGCTTTTGTTCTTATTTTAATTACGATCACTGCCAGTATCTGGGTTACCTGTGAAGGCCTCCAGGGAGGGGTCATGGAAGTTTATTTGGAATGATCCTCTCAATTAAAAAAAGAAAGAAAGAAACTCAGATTCCTGTGGTTTAGAAATAGTTATTTGCATGGAAAAGTTTTAATGTCTCTTCCTTTCTCTGCTGTGAGTAAGGATCTGAAATAGTGATTGTAACTCACAGGGGCTATTGACAGTGGATTCCGGAGCTGGTCAGTCTTACTGGGAAGCTTGGGGTGGGGGGTTTTCTGATTTGGTCTCTTGAGTGGTGGGAGGTTTACTGTTCCATGGGCTACTGTTCCCCAGGGCTGGTGAACTGGTGAAGTCTTCCTCATCGTCCATGCCGTTGGCTGCATCATACTGCGTGTTTTCTAGTCTAGTGATTAGCCTTTTGTCCCCAAACTCTGCAGACTAATGCTATGGGCTTTGCAGACTGACTGCCTGGTTCAAGTCCTGGCCTCACCACATACTCGTTTGGTTAGCTTGGGCTGCAACTCTTTGTGCCTCAGTTCCTCATCCATAAAATTGGGATAAATAATTATAGTACCTACTTGATGGGGCAGTCTGAAAGTTATGTGAGTAAATACATGGCAAGGGTTAAGCGGAATGCCTAACAAAGAGCAGCACTTAACCCACGCATTCACTTGACTCATGTTTACTGAGTGCCTTCTACCTACCAGGCCCTGTTCTAGACCCTACTGTTATGATACTGAACACAATAAAATCCCTGCGCATGCGGAGCCTATGTTTTAGTGAAGGTTGATACCCAGAAAACTGTATGTACACGCGCACACACACCCCACTCGTTTTCCAGGAAGGGAAAGTGAAAAATGGTCTATCTGAGGGAAGAGTGTGTCGGGCCAGGTGAATAGCAGGCACCAGGTGGGCACATGCTGTGTGTGCTGGGAGCACAGCAGAGCCATCCAGGTGAGACTGATCAGAGATGAGGTTTGAGTAGCGGCCTGAGGCAACTTCATGTGGGACTTGCAAACCATACTGAGGGCTTGGCTTTTACTCTGAGTGGAATGGAATGCTCTTCAAGGACTTCATGAGGGGGTATGCTGTGTGATTTATGTCTCAGAGGGATGACTCCGGCTTCTTTGTGGAGAAGGTGAGGGTGGAGGAGGTGAGGGTGGAAGCAGGAGGACAGGATAAGGCTATTAAAATAGTCCAGGGTGGGCTTCAGGTAATGGCTGCTTGAAGAGGTCAGGCAGTTCCTCCAGCAGGTAACAATGACAAACACTGACCGGATTATTAAAAACTATTGGAAGGTTCTGGAAGGTGACCAAAGGGGGACAGAAATACGAGCAGAGTTTGCTGTTGGAAAACTGCTACTGATTGGGAAGAACTGTGAACTCATGACTTTCTTGCTGGGGGTGCTCCAAACCCCCCAGATCTGGCAGTCTGGAACGACATTCTTCCCAGCTCAAGATGGCCACAACAGAGTTCAGAGATGAGAGCAGATGGAAATTTAAGAAGCACATTCTGGAAGGAGGGCCACAGAAGGGCTGAGATCTAAGATGTGAGTATAAACTCTGGCTAAAACCCTGGATGAAGTATAGACACACACCCCCTCCCAAACACACACACACATGTGCACATGCGGGCACGGGAGACTAAGAGAATCCAGCAAAAACACTGATGAAACTAGGGGGATCGTGAACCCTTGAAAGACAGAGCTCCTGGCAAGATGTGCAGACTTGCTGCACCTTTGACAGAGTATATTCCCCAAGCTGTGTATACAGCTTGGATGGCAAAAATCAAAAGCCTGATTGAATTTCTGTATCAATGGGCAGAATTCAGGGCTGGCAGAGTAACTGGAAATTTAGGCTGGGGAGCGTTGGAAACAAATGTAACCACAGAGAGGATGAGCCCCCCAATCTGACTATCAAATCCACCCAAATCTTCATCTGCCTGCTGAACTAGGCAGGCTCAGGGATACCCTCAGGGGGCAGGCTAATCAGCAACTGAGCAGAGACACCAGCTGCTGCTCACTGAGGGGGAGATAGATTTCAGTCTGAGTCCAAGCAAGTTCACTTCTTAGTAGAATAACAACAACAAAATCCTTAGAAAAACAAAATAGATCCACTACAATAAATTATCCACAATTCTGCTTTTCAACCAAAAACTACTAGATGTGCAAAGAAACAGGAAAGTATGACTCATACTCAGGAAACTGATTCCAAGTGAGCCCTGATGCTGGATTTAAGTAGCTGTGTTCAGAGAATTAAAAGAAAGTGTGACCCAAGGCGGGAGAAAATGAGTTAATAGGAGCCGATCCTGATTGGGCTCAGATGTTGGATTTAAGTGGCTATCATAAATATGTTCAAAGAAATAGAAGAAAACAGCCTAAGAATTAAAGGGAAACACAGTATTAATATTAATTATACGACCTCCCTTATAATTGTTTTCATTGGAAGCGTACACACTCATTGACAATTATATCGTTACACACGACCTGTTGCTGATGACACGCTCTCACACAGTTTCTGTGGGGTAGGAATTCGGGAACACATTAACGGATGGACCTGGCTTAGGGTCTCACGGTTTCACAGTCCACTTGCTGGTGGGGCTGCAGTTGCTGAAGTTGGTTGAGGTTGGGGAACTTGCCCCCACAATGTCTCACTCACATAGGGGGGTAGTTGGTGCTGCCTGTTGGCACAGGGCCTCAGTTTCTCACCATGTGAGCCTCTGTGGGGCTCCTTTCATGAAGGCCATTGTGTTTGCACGATGTTCCTGTTTTTGTCTGTGCTCAGTCATGGTTGTGGACTTCGCATGGTCACAGACTTGGTCTGATATTGGTGTACTACTGTAAACGCTTTCATGTTTAATAGGGAAGAGTGTGGTCTGTGTGCCAGCGCCAGCTCCACCCCAGCTATAAGCTGCTATCTCTCTGTCACAGCTGATTGTTATTGTTGTTATTTTTTTCCTTTTTCAC